AAAGTTCAGACAAAAGGATGAGTATAATATCTAATAATGGTTGATGGAAGGAAGGTTGGAATGGTAGAAAAGAGAATCAATGGTGCTTCAGAAAAGAAAGTGAAAGAAGGAAGGTCAGGGGAGGGAAATCAAAAGTATAAAAGCTAAGAGAAAGAGAGAGAAATAGCATAAATATTGAAAATGTTCTGTGGGATATAGCAACTGGTTTACATTTTCCATAACAGCTTCAGTGGAGTGGTAAGAACAAATTTCTGATTTTAATATTAAAGAGTAAAGGGTGTTGAGTGAATGAAGACAGTGATTGTAGACTGTTGCTGGTATTCAAATTTAGGTAGTAGATTCATCTCACAAACTTCCTACTCTGGAGTGACTCACCAGTGACACAGATGGTTCAGTGAGGAGGTTGAGGCTTTGTGAAGTATTGCAGCCCATTCAGTGTTTCCTGAAACAATCTCTTCCCTTGGCCTCATTAACAGCACAATCTCTTGGCCTTCTGATTGACCCTAGTCCTTCACTGTCTCTGCAGGTTCATTCTCCCTAAGGAGAGGTTAGAATCAAGACAGTTCTAGTCCCATTCCCTCTCATTTTATATGCTTTCTGGATAACTGCATACATACACATGGTTCAATTATCTTGAATTATCATTTCTGGCACAATATAGGGAATCAATAAACATGTGTTAAGTCAGTGAAAAAATTGTTTATTCTAATATTTGTACTAATCAGCTCTGTTGTCATTTAATGATGTTCGAGTACAAAGATTTTCAGAATATCTAGATTTTTTATGTATTTTAATCAAAATTGAATTGCTATTTAGGTTATTGTAATACCAGCATGTGGGCTATTAAATCTTTATATATGGCATTTTTAATTTTTTCAGTATGATGTTATATTAATTAATATTTTCAATTTGATCAGAAATTAAAATAGTTTCACATTTCTTATCTGAAGTTCACATGTTTATTTTTTTATATGCCAGGTGGTTGTGAGAGCTTTAATAAAAACAACTTTGCCCACTTTGAATGTGTTTCTGGTCTGCCTTATGATCTGGCTGAGTTTTAGTATCCTGGGAGTACAGTTATTTGCTGGCAAGTTCTATGAATGCATTGACCCAACAAGTGGAGAAAGGTTTCCTATATCTGAAGTCATGAATCAAAGTCAATGTGAAAGCCTTGTGTTTAATGAATCCATGCCATGGGAAAATGCAAAACTGAACTTTGATAATGTTGGAAATGGTTTCCTTTCTCTGCTTCAAGTAGTGAGTACACGTTTGACTTTTCTTTATCAATTATGTCACTCAGTGACCCACTATCTAGCAGATGTGAAGAGATGGGCTATTCCTCATATCTCCCCCACAGAAAAGCACATTTATAACAGCTGCAAGTAACCAAAACCATGACATGTGTTTATTTACCATTCAGCTATTGAATGGTAGCTCTATTTATACTATCCTAAAATATTTTATTAACTACAAATAAACTAAATATTTAAAACAGTTGTCAACAGACAGTATAATAATGAAAATACTAAAG